TTTTTTCAAATCAAAATAGTGCAAAAGCACATGTCGAAAAAACACTTTATCGCGTTCCATTTTTCACAAAGCAAAAGAAATTGTTGTTTAGGAAAATAATTGTGTATGCTGACTGAATGTTATCGAGAAATGTCGAAATTAATCACAAACTACCTGTTTCGTTAGTAATGACTACTAGAACTGTTTGCATTGCCATCTAACATTTGCGGGCGGAAACTAAGTTAAGGTCCTAATATGTATGTATGTATATGCATATATTTATATTTATATTTATATTTTATATTCGTACAAAAGAAAATATGTGTATTAGTACCCAGTGAATAAATATTTTTTATTTCTTTGATATTCTTTCTCTCAGTACAGAGAGGAAAAATTGCAGAGAATTCATATGGAAAGAAGCTGTAATTTTCTGTCCGTGTGTGTGGATTTCTCAAACGTCCGATTTATATTCGTGCATGTCTCGACAGTCGCGGTGACGTAATGAGCTTGTATGATGTAACATTATCGTCGTGCACACGGTGTCACACAAGCGTGACACACGAAAGAGGAACATCATTCGGTGATGTCGCAGATATCCGTCGATCCAGCACCCGTAAACTGCGGACCTCGTAGTTTTGAAAAAAATTCGCTAATGACTTTGCCAATTTGTATGTAAATGACATTCCAAAGTACACACACATACACACACACAGTTTCCCAATGCCCGGTTTCGCGCTTCCTTCCTTTGACCCTACGGGTCAGTTTTCAGTGGACTTCTTCCTACCGAGGATTCAATAGGTCGTCGTTGTAATTTTATTCGGTTTTTCGCTTCAGTTGTCGGTGTATCAAGCTTCAAATTAAAATTTCATTGAAGTAAAATTTGTCTAGATGTCGTAAACAATTCTAAAGGCTCGTTTTTCAAAAGCGCCTTCGCTTTCAGTCTCTCTAACCGAAAATTTGACGACGCCGCGATAGTTTTTCTCTTTCACAGCGAGAAATCAGCTCGAAGATTCCACTTTCTGTGTTCGAGACGTGAAGAATATGAACTAAAAGAGCACGAGATTTTAGATTGCGTTTTAAAAGCACAGACATACAAAGAGATATTATTTTTTAGATGTTAACCATTTATTTTTTGCAATTAATTCCGCAGTTGGATTTATCGCACAAATTGAAGGCGAAGTTTAATTAACGAAGGAACGACAACGCGTCATTGTGCTCAGGAGAACTCTCCTCGAGTTTCCTCATGAAAACGCGAGCATTCCTCGGGAATATCTCGCGTTATCGCAGAGATATGTCATAATTAATGCCTTATTTAGCTTTAAAGCGATAATGATTATTATTAACACGTGGACCACCGCTGGTGTACGCGCTGAATTTTCCGCTAAATTTTCCACTTTGGCTTTAGTAGAAAATATAATTAAAAAATACTTTCTTGTTTAGCATTACATGAGGGACTGACACAAGCAGTCTTGCGAGCTTTATATGTTTAAGAAACGTAATGACACGATGGCGTGGGCCACCGCGTTGATAAGCCATATAAAACTGTCCCGGCACGGAACGTGTTAAATAACGCTGGTTATTATCAATGTTTACGATCTTGCGTAATCTGTGTTATAGGATGGTCCACAGATACACGAATCGCGCGCATCATCAATCTCCACCCTCGATAACTTATATTTTTGCCGTCCACGATAGATGCGCCCGCGATTGATCACGATTACGGACATATGTTATAAAATCGTTATAAAATCACGATCGTCATCGCGATAAACAACATCGCTATCATTGTGGACGCGCAATCCGATCGATGCAAACGAATGCACGAAGCCGAGTGATCTAAATCAATTGTATAAGGTGGCACAGTTGCGCGGAACGTCGATCGGCAGCTTTTCAAATTGACGACAGATGTTAAATTGAACAATCGACGTTTCTCGCGACTGGCGAGTCGATAGCCAATGAGCTTTTTTACTCGGCGACTATGAGTTCTCACATTCCAATGCAATGATCTTTCGGTACACGGAAAGAATATTTGATATTTTAGGTTTTCACGATGTTATCTAATACTTCGCTTGTTTTTCAAGTTTAGATCGTGTCTTCCTTGTATTTGGTCCCGACGTTTCATGAACATTTCAGTTCATTTCTTCAAGGAGTAGGGTAATATGAAAGTTTCAAGTCGTTCTGCTCTCCGAAGAACTGAAATGTTCATGAAACGTCGGAACTAAATACAAGGAAGACGTGGTCCAAATTTGGAAAGCGAAGTAACGGAAAGAATATTATACAGCTTTTTCCTCTCTCTCTCTTTCTCTCTTTCACACACACATACACACAAATTCTTTTCGATTTTACCGTAATTTCTGCATACAAGAACAGCCTTAAGATTTATCTTGCTGAGGAACACAAGAAATCTTTTAATTACAATGTTTTCTTACAATTTGCCGCATCTTCGAGGCATCTTAATTTGAAGTCGATTTAACAAAAACATTTAGCAACAACAAAAACAACAAAACGAAAGGAAAATATTGGGAGATTATAAACCACTCGTATAAAAGTGATTAAAGAGTGCTTTAGGTTGCACTGTTAAAGGTGTACGTGTGAAATCATTATCTCCTCTTGAATTATTCGGGAATCTCCAACGCGAATCTCAATTGTTTTGCATCCTCGATCAGCGAAGCGCGGCAGATTTTATCGAAGATCGATATCTTCGCGTTTGCGTCGGATAGAGAATGGCGTTCGATGACATGCTTGTAAACAACAACAACTACCCACTTTCTTCTCATTTTCACTCGCGAGAAAGGAGAAAATTTACAAGATGAATTTACGTGAAAAATAATATGTAAAAAAAACACACGAAAACTATTATTTCACTGCTGATAAAAGTGATTATTCAGTTTACTTTTCCTCTTTTAAGTTATTAT